TTTTTTTGTTTCTCTCAATTAATATTTTAATTAATTCTTTAATAATAAATAAAAATAAAACAGTATCAAAACTTACCGTCTGAACCGAGTTCAGCGCCAATTTCATCCCATACTTCATCCTTCAATTTCGTCCTTATGTAGTCTGGATGACTTGTATCGTACAATACTGTTTTTTCCCGCACGAGTTCAATTAAACTTTCGTCGCACATATTTTAAACAAACCCACGCGTCCCACGACCCACGAAATCTGTGCGAATCTCACAAACAAACCCACGGCTGGTTGACGACAAACTGGGCTGGCAGTTGAGTGGGTCCAATATGCACCGCTTCACTACAAACTGTGTTTCACAGAATCTCCCATGCGTGGGCTGGGCCTGTGCTGGGTTCAATTTGCGGCGGGCCAAAGTGGCCGCGCCATAGCTCAAGCGGATAGTCGCTGGCTTCCTACCGTGGCGGCCCGGGTTTGATCTCGGGTCTGGTCAAGTGGGATTTGTGGTGGACAAAGTGGCGCTGGGGCGGGTCTTCTCAGAATACTTCGGTTTCCTCTGTCAATCTTCATTCCACCAAATTCTCCATCATCATAATCACCTGGGGCAGGGTACAATAGGCCAATTAGTGGCCGCCATGCCGAGTGGACCCAGTTAGACTCCACCACCCACTAAGCGAATTACCCCAAATGAATAATAATCATGACGATTACATTCTACAAATGGACGGAGCTCCCTCCTCCCATTTTCAGAGGAATGTACGAGTGTTTCTCAATCGTGTTCTTCCACAGCGCTGGATCGGACTTGCTGTTACAAATGGAGACCATTAGCCACCCCGTTCACCAGATCTTACACCGTGCGATTTCTTTTTGGGGGGTTCGTTAAAGACAGCGTGCATGTCTCGTCATTGCCCACGTCCATCCGTGAACTTCGTGATCGGATAACGCATGCACTGCAGGCCATTACAGTGGACATGCTACACCGGTTCTGGGATGAGTTTGATTACCGTGTAGATGTTTGTCGTCTGACCCAACGTGCACACATTAAAGGTTTGTAATTAACGCACGAGAAACTTGGAGAGTTGCCGCCGCTGATGGTGCATGTTGTGCCCATGTAAGTTGAGGGATAAATTTCTTATTACCTTTTGAAACCGCATCATTCTCTTATGTATACAGTGGAACCTCGCTTAACGAGCACCTCTCATAACGAGTAATTCGCATAACGAGCAAAACAAATTGTAAAAAAAATGACTCGCTTAATGAGCGACGTTTCGCATAACGAGTGACGAGAGGGAAAGTCCCGGATTGTGAGCTTGCTACATCAGCCTGTGTTTAGCACGCTTTCCGCTAGCATGTTAGTGTCGCTTGTGATCACACATTTTTCCAAACTTGTGTTCAGACATATTATTTGTGATTTTTTTGTGCAAAGTTTAATAACCCTTGCAAAAATGTCCCCGAAGGAAAAGCGGCAAAAAGACAGCCATAAGGGAATAAAAATAACCGTAACAATTAAACGTAAAATCATTGAAAAGAGAGAAAGAGGTGTGAGCGTGGCTGATCTAGCACCACATACAATCGGTCTACATCAACGATTTGCACAATTTGGAGTTGCATTGCATTGTGTTTCACAGCAAGACGTTGTGGAGGAGAGTTTGTCAGAGGAGGAGGAGGAGGTAACAGCAAATCAACAATCTTCTGGCGCAATAAGAGAAATGCTGAAAGCATGGGAAACTGCTGCATCATACATTGAAAAGCATCACCCTAATAAGGCAGTGGCTATGCTCGCTACAAATTTATTTAATGATAATGCAGTGTCGCATTTTCATCGAATTTTGAAGCGTCGGCAAAAGAAATATATCTATACAGCTTTCTAGTAAAAAAGAATTAGATATGTATCATAAATAATAAACTAATTATTTCGATTTTTTTTTCTGCAAATCGAATTCGCATTCCAGGTTGGTTCATTCTGCATAGAAGAAAAGGTGAAGATGATTCACGCTCCTTAACAATGTATATATAATTTTCTTTGAATAAACGTTATAAATAAAATTTTTTGAGTATTTGTTTCGGCATGGAACACATTATCATATTTTACATTAATTTATATAGAAATATTTGTTTCGCTTATCGAGTAAGATTCTGGAATGAATTATGCTCGTTAAGCCAAGTTCCACTATGTGTGCGCGCGCAATCTGCAGGACTATGTAGTCGTGAGAAGTTGCTAACCGCCGGCTGGAGGACGGGAACTGAAATTCTGTTTCGGACTTTGTATTTCTAAAGTCATGTTTGGACAATCTCTGACTGGCTGGTGAGGGTAAGACTGCCGGCGGTCGCAACGGAATATTTTTTATTCCAGTGCAGTTGCGACCGTGTTCATTTTTTTTGTATACAGTCAACTCTCGATTATCCGGGCTAATGGTGGGGATGGAAGTCACGGTTAATCGAAAACCCGGTTAAGCCAAATTTTATTATACGGGCTGGACGACTGTGAAGGGTCGGAGTTCGAGTCCCGGTAGGGTCAAGAATTTTAACTTCTCCAAATCGTCCAGACCGGCTCTGGGGTCCATCCAACCTCCTATCCAATGGGTACCGGGGGCTCTTTCCCCGGGGGTAAAGCGGCCGGGGCGTGAAGCTGACCACTCACCTCCAACTAGTGCCGAGGTCAAGAAAATTTGGATCTATACATCCACTCCCCCACACGCCTTAATGGCGTAGGGCTTAATTCGTTGAGCAGAGGAACAACTTTACCTTTTACCTTTTAATACCTTCATAATACTATAGACCTACCTGTATTTAAATTTATTCATCCTCATTTCTATGTCATCTCATGGCCTATTTAATACTTTCTTTACATTACACTCAGTATGAATTAGTTATTTCAATCACTGTTCAACAACATCCAGCACTTTTTACGGTCACACTTAACACTTAAAATAATTTAATACTGTCTTTTGCTTTTTCGCGGCATTTTCCTTTTTACGGATATCCGTACGAAGCCTACGTAATATTAGCTTG